GTCATCTATAATCCTGCAGAGGGAGAGCATGAGAGAGGGAGAGGAGAGGAGAAGAGAGAGAGAGAGAGAGAGAGAGAGAGAGAGAGAGACAGATATTAGTTGTTTATCAAGTTTACATTCATTAGAGATATTTGCTGGTCCTGTGGAACATTCCCAGAACAAATTACAGTCCAAGGTTCTACCATACATTTTTTTTTTTTTTTCCAGAACTGGGGATTGAACTCAGGCCCTTGTACTTGCCAGGCAAGTGCTTATTCTACTAAGCCATCTCCCCAGCCCCTCTACCACACATTATTAAAATTAGATTTACTTATTGATTTTTACTGTTGCTAAACACAACATTTAAATGGATACAGAATTCCACAAGTGGCTGTCTACCGCTCTGCATGTGATTGTCTTTAACTCAAGGCTTGTACATCATATTATTTTTCTCTCTTAAATTTTAAGCCAATATTCTAATGTTTCAATTAATGTTCCTGCCAAAAGTACATTTTAATATCTGCTAGAAGAATTAGTATCTTCCACATCACTCTTATTTTTCAGATTGTGTCTTACAAGCAAGGCTAAGCCAATTTTTCTTTTGGATGAATTTCAAAATTATTGCCAAATTCACAAGGAATCCTACTTGGATTGTTCATCTGTACAGCTAGAAACATTTTTATCCCCTCAAATTATTGTCTTTTTATGACTTTCTGGAGAACTTGGGGACTTCATTTATATTTTATGTATTTTCTCAAGATCATGTCAATAAATATATTTTTGAGGTTACTGTCAATGGGTTCCATGCTCAGATGACACTTGTTTTTATACTGGTGTCCTTCAAACTCACTCAATTAAGCTGTATATTTTAACTGTTATTATCTGTGAGGAGTATTTGACCACACGCACTCGCTGCATTTTGTTTCCGCTGTCACAATACTGCCCCAGAGACCAAGCCTCCCTGTCGCTAGTTGGCAGTCCTGGCGGCGGCGGGTGGCGCCCGCGAGCCTCGCTGGCCAAGCTGCTCTCTGAGCCGCTCAGCCCTTTGACCTTGGCCCTGCTTCCTGGTTGGCTCTGGTCCCCTTTAAGACGCCCATTAGAGAAGCACGGTCCCTTTCCAAGCAAAATAAGCAGCAGAGAAGACAGAGTTTTCTTCTGGGTCTTTGCAGTTTACTTACTATAAAAGTAAAGCAAATCCTCTCTCTCTCTCTTTTTTTTTTTGGCTTTGAGACATATCTTCATAGGGTAGCGTACCAGATTATAGTTTTTTCCCTGGTGCTTTGTTAAAAATCTCAGTGGACAGAGGCAGTTATATATTTCCTTTCCAAACACATATCCAAAAGACAGAAAAAGGGTCAGGACTAGTGTTAGGGTTAGGTTTATAGTTGGGGTGGAGGCTAGGGAAACTTACTTTAAATGTTCTCCTATTGTGAACATCAATGCTAGATTCTCTAAGGTTGCCTGTCAAAATTATTTTTAAGTTACTAGGCCCTTATGCTGTCCCTGAGGAGGATCTTCTGCTGTACCTCAGTAGATAAACAGGTTCCTGAGCTCCCCTTGGAAAAAGGGCGGCCTCAGGGATTTTGCAAGGTGAGCTGTGGAGCGTGCAGATGTCCTTAGCTCCCAAGCGAAGACGGAACACGGCACCCTGCTGACTCTGCAATAGCAGGACCGAATGGCTGCTGACCGTCTAGACAGAGCCCCCTGCAAGTGCAGGGACAGATTCTGGATGTTGCCGGTCCTGGTCCTCAAGAATGTGCACCAGGTTATCAGACAAAACTGGGTGTTGAGAAGCCTCCTCTTCCCCCTTTGAAGTTGGGTTTAAGGAGGAACTGGTCCCGAGTCTGCAACTTGACACTCCTTGGCTGTGAAAATTCTAGAAATATTTTCATGCCAAGAAGCGTGTGCAGCACAGCACGCCACACAGAGCATACCTTGGACAGACAGTGTCACGTCCTACCTAGGGAGTGTCCTTGGTTGGCAGTCTATAAGTGAACAGGCGGCCCTCTTTTTGAGTGAGTGTTGCCTAGGAGTTCATGTGGTGGGAGAGATGTCTTGGTAGGCCTCGGACAAAAGTGGGCACAGACCTGGGGCCTCTGCCTGCTGCTCACCGCCTGCACTGCTGTGCCGCTGTGCTCGGTTGGGCACAGGTGAGCTCGAAGCTGAGTGGATGCCCACTGTCAGCAGAGGGACCCCAGCCTCGCAGCCCATTGTCCATCTCTGGGTACAGGTTCTCTGCGTCACTCGTCCCCATCTCCCCACTTTGGGCGGGGAGCATGGGAAAAGCCTGTTGCTACCTCCTCCGGGCATCTCAGCTGCAGGGCAGGAGCTGGGTCCTGCAGTCTGGGTTTCCTCACCCCTGGAAGTTGAGATTAAGGACCTGTAGAGTAAACCTCCTTCTACCACAGCCCGGTGGGAGCAGCGATAATGCGGCATCTCCTCTGCTAACTCCCTTTTAAACAAGCGCATCCTTCAGCTGATCCAAGACCAGATAAAAGGGGGACCCAGGGTTTCCCTTTGAAAATGATAATGAATCCAGACAAGGATTCTTGGATGGATCATTTCTGCTCTGGTTTGTATTAGCTCTTCAATTAAAGAGTTTACACAAGGGGCTGTCTGGAGGGTCTTGTACCACATGAAAGGGAGGAACAGCCGATCCCTATAAGAGGCATCCCCTGGCTTTCCTCGGTTGTGTTTCCCAGACCTTGGGAGAGACTGGCGCTTTTCAAAGAAGAGGTCAGGTGGTAGGGAGACAGTAAGAGGCCGGCTGCACAGATGGCCCTCCCGGGGCCAGCCGCTTCCTTCCTCTCCCATCCACAGCGGCCCAGCCTTCCTTCATGGAGCAGGAGAAAGGGGAAGTGAGGAGATGGTGATCCGGGGAACATGGAGACTTGGGTAGGTCCCCAGGTCCCTCCTCCTTGGGAACCAGGCCACTGCCAGTTCTGAGCTCTGTGCTTACAGCAGCTCACTCTCACCAGGCTGGATGAGGCACCCCGTGTGGCGTGGACACAACCACGGAGTCCTGCTCTGTGTTGGGTGAAGCTGCCCAAGGTCAGAGTGTCTGTGCCCACAAGATCCATTGCCAGGCAGCCCCTGCCTGCCTCAGCTGTGCTGGATGCTGGGCTTGAGCAACCGTGGATGCCGCAGGGCCTGTCTCCTCCACCGCCTGAGCTAAGGGCTTTGGTTACACAATTGTGTTTGGAGTGGGTTAATATCGTGACACTCTGCAGTACACAGAGAATGGTTCAGGATTCACTTTAAGGATGGAACAGAAGAGAGGAGATGCCAGCCTGGGCTTCAGAGGCTTTCAGGGCCCTGGCGGCCGCTTGTGGTTGGAGCCTGACCTAAAAGGATGGCATCTGGGAAAATGCAAATGCCATGGCTTGGCTGAGCATCCTCAGGGGCCCCGATGTGGGGAGACTGGGCGTAGCCGAGGGCACCCCTTGGAGAACGTGGGACCCCCTGGTGGAAGGAAGTGAGTCACCGGGGACTTTCATTCACGTGCCCTATGGCACCCCGAGTTGTCAGCACTGAGTGCTGTCATAAAGTCCTGGCAGCTGGTGCCCAGGCAGCTGCATGCTGATGCTGTGCTGAGTTTTCCTCTCCAGTGAACTCGGTTGCTTCACATTGTCCATCTGCATCGCTTTGCAGAGAGCAGCCTGCGCGATTGTCACCATGCTTCATACTAAGGTCATTTCTTGTTATTGGTTTATCTGACCTATTTATTTATATAAAAGGTAGAGACCAGTCATGTTTGATAGTGATTTTTTTTTAAAAAACATGCTGGCTGTCCTTGGAGGTCACCCATTCACTGGGGTTTCCAAGCTTGTCAATTTGTATTTTAGTATTCATTCCATTCCTTCCAATCATAGATAACTTAGCTCAAGTATTGACATCTGTAGTGGATTTCTACCTGGTGGTCAACTTCTTACACCCAGCTGAGTTGAACTAGTGTGGTGCTGGGTGCGGGAGGCCCACCTGAAGATTGTTGCCAGCAGCCTAAAAGGCAGAACAGAAGCTGTCAGAACACTGTTAGGGATGCTATTTGGAGAAGCTGTTGGAAACTGCAAGTTCTCCTGAATGTTATGGTTCAAGTCTAGGTGTCCCCTAAAGCCTCATGCAGTCATAGGGCAGCTTCTAGAGTTTGTGATTAATTCAGGGTCCAGTGCTGGGATTATGGGTGTGAGTGCTACACCCGCCCTGGGGCAGACGGCCTGAAGGTAATACAAGGAAGGGAGAGAGGCTTGCTCTCTCTGGTCTCTGCCACCACAGCTACTGCTCCTCCCTTTCCTCTTTACTGTCCCCTCATCCTCCTGCCATGTATGGCTGCCCTCTGCTGTGTGCCATGCTACCTTGGAGCCAGCCGAGTGCAGACTGAAACCTCCACTAACTGTGAGCTATATAAGCCTTTCCTTCCTTAATTCTGGGTGTTGAGAATTTTGTCCCAGCAATGAGAGAAAACTAACTGAGCCAACACCCATGAGAATTTCCACAGCTAACTTTTCTACCAGAAGCTTACTCTGCTGCCTTCACATAGATCTATCGTGACCCCACACAGGGGCGGACACCACGTCCTCTCGCTTCTCTTTGGACCGCTGCCGCGTTCTCCCAGCAGCTCATGTTCTTTCCACATCTTAGTTACTTTCTTATATCTTTGGAAAAATACCTGACATCAGAGGCATATAGGACAAAATGCTCCATTTGGCTCAGTGTGTGATGCTACGGGTCAGGCTGCCCCAGGGCAGGGTGGTGTGGCGGAGAGGCCCGGGGCAAGGGGAGCTGCTGGGGGAAGAGGATCCTGAAGTGGAGAGAGAGTGAAGTGGGATGCTTCTAGGTCACAGCCCCAATGACCCGCCTCCTGCCACCAGGCTCCCCCTCCCTATGCACTGGGGCAGGCGGGGTGGTGGGGAGTGACTGAGACTCCTGCTCCTCCTAATCCTATTCTCTCAGTCACTTGTGGAAGCGTGAGAGCCCCAGGATGCCCAGCCCCTCTCCATGTGCCTATCTTGATTTTCTCTTCCGAGTGGGCCCCAAGAAGAGGACTTTCCTGCAGCCTCTAGTGCTGGCCCTAGAGATGGCCCTCAGCCCACCTGAGCCAGGTGTGTCCCATCTCTGGATGTGCATGTTCCAGGTGCGCCTTGTGCCTCAGTCACCACATCCTCCGGGAGAGGGCTGGGCCCATGGGCCATCCTCACTGTCCAACGCGTGTCCAGGAAGAGTAATAGCTCCTGTGCTGGGGCCCCAGATCTGGGCATGACTAGGGGTCTGTGCCATGGAGCATAAGCCATGAAACATGGGACACATCCACATGCTAAGGAGTGGGACAGACATGTCCTCAGGTGGGGGTGGCGGTGTGGCTGGCAATCAGCCTTAGCTTTTGGCTGTAGTTTTAAGAAATTGATGCCCAACTGTTACCTAAGCAAACAGCTTGATTTAAAAATTGGTGTGCAAGGCCCAAATTGAAAAGCTTGTTATCTAAGGACCAGCCTGGGCAATGGGTACCCCAAGGCTGGAGAGCAGCTCCCCACTCCAAGTGTAGTCTTATCCTGAACCAGGTTGGCAGCCCCCAGGCTGCAGCTCAGAGCTGACCTTGGGCTCTCCTGTTGGCTTTTCCAGTCAGGAATTCCTTTTCCCTCCACCCCATTGCATGCCAAGTGACACCCTGTTTCAGAATCGCCCTTCCTGATGTGTGGGAGTCTTATCTCATATCCTGTGGGACAATGGCTGAGCGTGGCTGCAAGATTACCCAATAGTCAGTTTCCATAAACAAAATCCATCAGCCTTGCCCCTGTCTGCCAGAGAGGTTAGCGCGGGCTCATTCCAGGAAAGGGACTTATCAGTTGGAGCCGGTGACGATGAGCAGGCAGGTTTGGGGTGATGTGCAGAAGCGCCCTGTTCTCTTGCTGTGTCTGTTCCCTGGTGGCCATACCATGGGCTCGGGGGCTTTCACACGCCCAGCATCCATGCCCTTACCCTGGCCACGGCCCTCTGTTTCCTTCAGGGACCCACCAGCTCCTGTTGCCACTGCCGTGCCAGATGGACCTAGCATCACAGATGTGTGGGAGTATGCTCCTAACTAAACAAATCCAGTTCTTGCAGACATCAGACATGGAGCTAAAAGGACAAAATTGGCTGGGACTTGTTCTGTGGAAGGCGGAGCCCCAAGGCGTCTCCATGCTGGTTGGCCTTCGGTTCTCCTTGTGTTTTGTGAGGCATTTCATATTTTTTTTCATTTTGCTTTACTTCACCAGGACCTGTTGCTTTTATTTCAATTACAGAAACCCCTCTGTCCATGCTGAGACTAGTAGGGAGAGGGGGTAACAAGAGGAAGGCCCAGGGGCAGGACCAAGGAAGCAGAGGAGAGGCCCACAGGAAGGTGATGTGCAGGTCCCCCATTAACCAGCAACCCGGGGTAGAGGAGGGTTCAAGTGAGTGGGAAGATGCACTGTGACTTGTGGGCAGAGCTCTTCATGGGATCAGAGATTGTGCGCTCAGTGGCAGGGCTCTTGGAGCCCGGGGATCCAGAAATGGAAGGCCCATGGGGCAAGCAGTCTGCAGCCCTGCAGCGCACAATCCCCAGAAGATAGATAGTGGGAGAGAAAACCTTGATCGTGAATGCACGCAAACGTACCTAATTCAGATCCTGGGAGTCCTCGTTTGGTTCCCCGCAACACTGGCTTAAGAGACCTTTGAAGTCACCCTCTCAGGGCCCTGCTGCTCTCCCGCACAGCAGTCCCCCTGAGCTGCACTGCCTGGCTTCAGCACCCAGCTGAGAGTTTCTGGAGCACCAGGGACCACAGGGCAAGTGCGTGCTCTGGGCAGGGCGAAGTGCTTTGGCCCAGAGCTCTGGGGACCTCCAGGAGCTCTCTCAGGGTGAGGCAGGCACAACAGTTGCGCACCAAGTTTTTCTTCCACAACTCAGGCGTGACTGATTGCAAGGCAGTTTGGCTTGTGTTGAATGCAGCTCACAGCCCACGTGTCCTGGCTTTCTCTGGCCTGACTCCTGGTGTGGTGTTCAGGGTTCTGGGCCCAAGCACCCATCCTTTGTCTCCTGGCTCCCAGCCACATGCCCTTCTCTACCCCTGTTGGAAGCCAACGAGAGTCCCCAGGTATCCTGGGAGGCTGAAGCTCCTCTGGCTGTGGCTGCCCCTCTTCTGGGGACTGACCTGGGCCAAACCCTGTCACAGTGCATTGCCCCTCCATGGGAAGTCCCTCTTCATAGTGGCTGCGCACCACACAGTGAGATTTTCCTACTGTGGTCGTAAGTGTGGTCCATAAACCAGGGGTGTGGCTGACCTCTTTGACACCTTCAGAAGTATGATAGAAATTAGGAGCAGTCTTTGAAAACGCATACCACATAAGTATGAGCCACAGCTTCAGGGTGTTCTGGAAGTTTCTAAAGCCACCCACTGGACTTTGGCAGAGTACACAGCCACCACCTGATGTGGGTCTTCTCACCTGTCCACACACACAGGAGGTACCCAAAGTGCTGATCCACACAGAAGGCTCCAGAAGCTGTGGGACTGAGGTCACAGAGGGAGCTGGAAGCTGTGAGACTGAGGTCACAGAAGGTTCCAGAAGCTGTGGGACTGAGGTCACAGAAGGTTCCAGAAGCTGTGGGACTGAGGTCACAGAAGGTTCCGGAAGCTGTGGGACTGAGGTCATAGAAGGCTCTGGAAGCTGTGGGACTGAGGTCATAGAAGGCTCTGGAAGCTGTGGGGCTGAGGTCACAGAAGGTTCTAGAAGCTGTGAGACTGAGGTCACAAGAGGT